CAGTGTGGTCTGCTTTCTGGTATCCACAGGTCAGCTGCATGTTGACTTCTTGCACCTGTAACAGGAAGAGGGAAAAATGTCAAATCATGCACCAGCTTCAAGCTTCTTGTGCTTAGAGTTAAACATAAACCTGGAATCAAAATCAACCTAAACAAACATAATTACATCATGAGTTTCAGTTTCTACAATCAAAACAGAGTAATAATAATATCATGCACATGTAATTCTGTCATGCAAGGAGATGATATATAGTGATAAAAAAACCTAGTACATGTAACTAATGATCACTTGATGATCCATGAATTATGTTTACATCAATCAGCACATTGGAATAAGCAAATTGAAGGACAGTTACAAGAAGGCACATGAACTGGTACCTCAAACAATAGTTTCATGACTGATGACAGTCTGTCATCATCTTCCTTATGGCAATCAAGGGGGTTAAATACTGACTGGATCTACTTTGCACTACAAGCTAGCTATAGGTGTGATGGTTGTGGAGCTATTAATGTGGCTCAAAACATAGAATATAGATGATGGCATTGTACAACATTATTATTATGTTACATTATATTAATTCTCCATGTTGCAGCATTCTTTAATACTAGGCTAAACCAGTTATGACATATACGTATACAAGGCTAAACAAATTAACACTGAATGTATTACACTAGTATTTTAAACTAGAAAATATGACTTGTGAGAGAACAAGTTGTTGCAACTCAAAAGTATGTCTGAATCTGATGCTTTTCCATGACCCGTGGTGAAGATTTTGCAAACATTGATGTGATTGTAAATGTGTAACAGCTAAGCCTTCATTTACTCCCCCCTCTCTATATAGGAGTAAGGAAATTTAAGTGCAGCAATTTATCAGCCTGATCTTCCTAGATATGCAACAAATAAAACCCTTGGCAGATACCACTACAGTCAAAATCAGGGTTGACCGTTGAATAAGCAAAACAATTTACCCAGTACACCCACGAGCACAACTTCAGCAATTTGTGAGAAAAAGTCTTCGATTTTGACAAACCTTGCTACAATGTTGCTCTGTAGCAGAGTAGAGAAGGTCTATATTGGATTTCTATATGTACAGTAGTGTGTGTGTGTGTGTGTACAGTAGTGTGTGTGTGTGTGTGTGCAGTAGTGTGTGTTTGTATAT